TTATGTATGAACTTATGCATTACAAAAGCTATCTGAAACAATTTTTACATATTTTACAATATTTTATGCATTCTTATACCGCCTCAATTGATATTTTAAGGACTTCTATCCTTTACTCCAAATATACTGATTGGTACTGACTGACTGAAGAGCTGAGGAGTTGACGGAATAATAAGAGAATCTCATTCGCTATCCTCCGGAAAAGCCAAACTTTTATCAGCGTGTAAGCCTTGCTGCTCTTCGAGAATGTGGACAGTTAACACCGATCGGCTCTCGTGAAATCCATCCCACCTTTTGCACGACTGACAGTGTCTGATGCTAGCAAACTGATCCTATAGATATTTCGCGAACCCTGGAGTCCAGTATTATAAATCACCTTGTAGTTTACCCATCCAATCGCTATTTCTTTGTAGGGACTGTAAATGAATTAAAAAATCAATCTCAAATGTTCGTTCATTGTTGATTAACTAATTTGATCAACTGCAGATATTAATCACTCGACTCCACGAGGAGAGTCGGAGACAACACATTATTATTTTAGGAGACTTCAGTGCTCCGTTGCTTAACTGTGATCTAATGAATAGTAAGGTTTCGATCAAATTCTGTGGGACATGACGCTTGACGAATTCTTGCTTCAAACATGTACGAACCATGACTCGAATGCATGAAGGTCAGAGATCTAGTTGTCTGCGTCTAATTTTCACCAAAAGTGAGCAAAGTTTTGATGAACTAAATTAAAGCCCACGTCTAGGTATGCATGGATTTCTACCTGGACAGTATGGATTTCTACCTGGAAGATCATGCGAAACTTGCCACTTGGCTTTTCTTAACCTCGTTGCTTCACTTCGTAGTGAGCAGCAATCAGTCACTGTGATTTACTTTGACCTTAGTTAAGCCTTCGACAAGCTGCCGCACAGGCGTCTTCCAGTGAAACTAGAAGCCCTAGGCATCAGGTCTCACCTCGATTTCATTGCTTCCTACCTGTCTAACCGCAGCCAGAAGGTCTTAGTAGGCAAAAGCTT